GGTGGAGAGTGTCTGTCTGTCACCACAACGCTTGCTCTGCCAAGCAGACCTGGAAAGAGGAGCAGGCCCTGGCAGCTGTGGCTGGGGATGGAATTTGCAGTCATGTGTGACCCTGTGTCCCACGACTCCCTTGTCTGCAGAGAGGGGCTGGGGCAGGAAGGGTGTGGGTGCCCGCTGGCACGTCTGGCTCAGAGGTGAGTGTGCTGTCTCAGAGAGTACAGTAAACATGTGCTGTGGGGCTAAATGGCATGCAACATCACTGCCAGGAGGGAAGGTGAACAGATGACTCTTCTGTGCCATTAAATATCTGGGATCTGGAGAGAGATGGGTCGCTTTTAGGCTGCTCTTCAGAAAAAGCTGACCTATTCTTCTGTTCAGAGACTGTGGTGAGTTTTGAAGCAGCAGTCCTAAAACCACAGCTGAATTTCTAAGCCAAGAGCACTTTGTTCTCAGGAAAGGCAGGTAATACCTAAACTCTCGGGAGACAGACAAGTAGCTCCTCTTAAACCATTTAAGCTCTCTTGACTACACATTCACAGAAGTGTGTCCCTGCTTGGCTTTGTGTCTTACAGGCTCTTGTGGGGGGTTGGGATATTTTCTGCAGTATGGTCACATCCTGCCAACCAGTGCACCTGCCTAGTACTCAAAGCACCAGAATGCTGAGACTCAGCACCCAAGAGGGGAGCCCAGTGCAATGGGGAAACACCCTCAGCGTGTGGGTGCACGGGGGTGGTGTCTGATTGTGCAGGAGGCCAGGTTTCCATCCAAGCTCCTGCCTGTGCTGGCTGTGTTCATGGCTTCAACTTCTGGAGACTGCTGTAGCAGCATTAACCCAAGAATTGTGTGCAGCATGGCTACTTCATAAGGCCTGGGTGCACCTCTGTGTGTCCCCTCCCTCACCCAAAGTTAAAGGAGCCCAAAGTAGCTCAGACTAAGATGGGTGTCTTGGATGAGTGCAGAAGCAGGACTTTGTCCTGTGGACTCTGGCAATGATTGATGCCAGCTGAGCCAAAACCCTGGGCACCTGGGGATGCCTGGAGCTAACCAGCAAGTACTCTGCATGTATTGAGTCCAGCTGGCTTGTCTGGGAAGACTCTGTGTGTCATCAAGGTGTGCCTCCGTATCTGGGCAGAGGCTGTAAGGCTGATATTGCCCTACTTGCACTGCTTCTCTCTGGGACTGCACACTGTGAGCTTGGACTTAGAATCATAGAATGGTTTGGTTTGTAAGGGACCTCAAGTTCCAACCCCCCTGCCACAGGCAGGAATGCTACTCACTAGACAAGGTTGCTCAAAGTCCTGTCCAACTGTGCCTTGAATACTTCCAGAGATGGGACATCCTCCGCTTTTCTGGGCAACCTGAGCCACTGCCTCGCCATCCTTTGAGTGAAGAATTTCTTCCTAACTCCTAATCTAAATCTCTCCTCTTTTAGCTTAAAACCATTCCCCCTTGTCCTATCACTCTCTGCCTGCATAAAAACTTCTTTCTTTTTTTATAAGCTTCCTTTAAGTACTGGAAGGGGCTCTAAGATCTCTCCAAAGCCTTCTCTGCTGCAGGCTGAACAGTTCTCTCTCAGACTGTCCACATAGAAGAGGTGCTCCAGCCCTAGGATCATCTTTGTGGCCACCTCTGGACCTGCTCTGACAGGTCCATGTCATTCCTGTGCTGAGGACCCCAGACGTGGATGCAGTACTCCAAGGCAGGTCTCATGAGGGCAGAGGGGGAGAATCACCTCTCTCAGTATGTGCTGCAGCCAGCCTGATGTGTGAATTTAGAAAACCATTTTATTCCTCTCCCTTCTTTCCCTTGTGGCACACATGGATATTTGAGCTCCCCCAAGTGGGACCTTCCTGATTTCTGTCCCTACAAAATACCTCCTGTAAGACTTCCTGATGGTTAACTGCAGGCCATGGTTGCACGTGGCACTGAACAACATCTTGAATTGTAGCTGGAGACCTGGTAATTGAGTTGCTTCTGTTCCTTCAGATGGTGAGCGTGACCAGCTGTTGTTATGTAGTCTCTCCTTCAGTCCTTCTGGGAAATCACACTGTGATTATATTTCTGGCTTAAGAAATTTTTTTCCTAATCAGGGTGGGCCTCACAAAGAGGTTGCCACTTAGTGGTAATTACTTGCTTTAGAAGCTGAATGTCTCCTGAGGATTGCGAATAGCGGATTATCAAATTAATTAGTTAAACCAAGATGTGCTTTTGTGAAGCCAAGACCTGCTTTACTTGTGATCTGAAATAAAGGTTTAAATGTTATTAAACTGCATACAACCTGTTCTTGTCTCCCTAATGGGGGGAGAGAGGTAGTTCTTTCCTGAAGTGTAGTTGGTACAAAGGGCTGCTTGCTCCTCTACTTGCTGCATCCCTTGTTGCCTTTCTTTCACAAACCCTGTTTTGAGCAACATCTATCCCTGGTTTTAAGGCTTGTTCTGAGTGGGGTCTAATGCTGCTTCTTGGTGGCTTCCTCTGTTTTTGTGGGCTGCCAAGTTGAAGGGGTATAGGGTTGGAGCTGGACTTCAATGTTCCTTGCGGATCCCTTCCAAGTTAGGATATTCTATGAGGGTTCATTATGGATAGCTTGGTGGGATGGTAACATACTTTTCCTTTCAGTGTACAGCTTAATCCATGGGATATCTGCATTGCCATGTCTGTGGATAGCCCCAGTATGGTGGTGAGATTCCTGCAGGTATATTCAGAGACATCCACTTATCAATGGGTTAGCAGGAGCCATTTACCCTGGAGTAGTGCTCTACCAGACTCCATTCCCAGGATCTCCATTCCCTCAGAAGTCTCTGTGGCCACAGGAGGTTCCCTGTGCTGAGGACTGCACCAGTGATCACTCTAAGCTAACATGGAGCTCATGGGGGTATTTTCCTAAGAGCTCTTGGCCACAGTAATGTAATCATCCTGCTAACATCCATATTGCACAACTTCCCCTAGGTCAGGAGATGTCCTTATCTGGCATCTAAAACATCTGTCTTGTGTTGTTTCCAGCACAGCTGAATTGTATTCATAAAAGAATTGAGCATTTCCTGATTTGCACAACCAAAAATAAGCAGAACTCTGCTAACTGTTGACCCAAAGGTAGAGGTCCTTTCCCTGCTTCCTACTTCTGTCTGTGCTCTCTCCCAGCTCTAGGCTGTGGTACTGCTTTAGGCATTTGAGAAATACTGAAAGTCCAGAAATCAGATCCAGGAAAAAAGAAAGGAATGGGGAGGAAAGGGATGAGAGTCTGAAATTTGAACCTCAGAAATTTTCAGATCAGTTATATTGATCCCTCTTCTCCTTTTCTTTCAATTCTGGGGAGATTCAAAGGTTCCCATCCTTCCTAATGTCAGCATTTGCTGCCTTTTGCTGTAGTTCACCCCTAGAACAAGCCGTGCTTAGCAATGGTCAGCTGCTGCTGAAGGTGGGTAGCAAAGCAGTCCCTTGGAGTAAAATTGCCTCTCAGTCCATGCAAAGAACCTGGGTCTGCTGGATGGGAGGCTGTGGCACTCGGATCCCTGCCAGCATGGATGACAGCAGCCTTTTGCAGTGACTTCAGCAATTAAACCAAGCCTGAAGAACGCGCAGGCCTTGCGCGAGAGCGAGGAGCTGCTCCTGCGAGGAGACAGAGTGAGACTGTGCTGGGAACAAGCGTGGCATTGTTGTCAGCCTCAGTCAAGAGGGGCTTTTTAACACCCACTGAAGTGCTGGCTACAGCTGTCTCCCATGTGCTTGTGCGGGAAATGGATCTATAATGCAGAAGACGGAGAGGCTACTTTTCAATAAAAAAAAAAAAAAAAAAAAAGAAAACTATATTAGGAACCAGCCATGAGTAAACAGCAGTGTGATGTTCCCCTTAGCACAGTGCCATGGCAGAGGAAATCACATCACTGCCTCTGACAGGGCTGGAGCTGAGCTGAACTCAGGTTCTTCAGCCTGGGAATCCATATGGGGGAAAGTGCTCCTGAGCTTTAAGTGCAGTGTAGGAAAAGGAGGAGGTGTGAGATTGGGCTCTAAGCTGCTCTTGTGTTTGGCAGCCTCTATACATGGTGCTGCCACCTTCCCTGCATCCTTCTGAGTGGTGTTGACTTGAGAGCTTGTGGAGAGCTTTCTTTTGTCATGGGAAATGGGGTAGGAACAAGGCTCTGAGTACCTCTATGGTGCCTTCCTCATCTGTTTATGGGGATGCTGAAAGCTCCTATACCACTTTTCTCCTTATATGAGAAAATAACTTTTCTCTCTTTCTGGCCATCAGAGAGCTGAAATTAGGTGACTTGACGGTATCTCAGCAGGTAATTAATAACTAAAGGAGATGACAACCTTGTGCTCCCAGGCCTGTGCAAGCCACCTGAAGGAGACAGGAAAGCCAAAAGCTGCTCACCCTGGATCTGCTGCCAAAGGTCTGAGTGTAGGAGACCTGACCAGTTCAGTAACAGCTTGGGAGCAGGTTCTCTGCTCCATCCCCTTCACCCCCATGGGCTCTGGGGATGTCCCAGCCCTCCCTGGCTCTGCATTGCTCTTTGTGCTGCCTGGGGAGCACATGTCTCTGTTTCAAAGCTGAGGTAGCTCCTGGTGTGTGCAGTAGCCCCCCTGAAGGAGCTTTTGCCTGCAACTGGAATAGCCCCAAAGTGCCCAGGCTTGTTACCCAGGCTGCTGATTACCAGACTTTTTTGAGACTCCAGATCTCTATTTGGAGACTGGTTCCTCTGCAGAACACAGGGTAATTGCTTTGACCTGTTTGCTGGATAAAAATAGTTGTGTGCAAGGCTGGTGCAGTCACACATGGTATAATTTTTGAGGTTGTCCTGTGCAGAACAATGAAGATCATCTGATCCTTGTGGGTCCCTCCCAGCTCAGGATTTCTCTATGATTCTGCAATTTGGGTTAGCCCTGGGCAGCCATGGCCTTTGGAAAGGAAACATACATGTAATGCTGCAGCTGTAGAAACAGCACATAAAACTGTTTCTACAGTTTTCCATAAAACATCTGGGCATTAAAGGCATGTTGGATCTCTTCTACCTCCTTTAATTCTGTGATGGGGATATGTCTCCAGCAGAAATAGTCTGGTATTTATGATAGCACAGGGCTTGTCATGTGTGTGCTGCAGAGACATCTCTCCTGGTGCTCCCTCCTCTCTGGGAGTGGGCCAATCCCTAGGGAGACTCCCAGCAAGCACCTGCAGGAAGATATTGCAAAGGTTAGCCAAATGTAGCCCTGCTCATTGCGTGGGAGATGTGCCGGAGGAACAGATGAAGGACAAAGCTACACTGCAAATGTAGCCTTGTACAGACCCTGAAAATTATGGTCAGAGGCTCTGCTGGGGAGGTATGCTAGGCTCCTCACCCTCCTGATATGAATATATGGGGGAAAGAGGCTCTCTTGCATGCACAGACAGGATTTCAGATCTCAAATTAGTTGTTGCAGATGACAACTAATGTGCCTGTGCTGGGCTGTTAATACTCGAGGTGGCAGGGATGCTTTCCTTCACCCAGTTTGGCATTAGCAACTGCTGTCACCTGACACAGACACTACCTACAGATGGAGTGCTGCTGTGGGGAGAAGGTGACAGGCTGTTCCAGGCCATGGGGGAGCCTCTGAAAGCACGGGCTTTTTGAGAGCCAAGTGCTGAACAGTGAGGTAGCTGCTCAGCTCTGGTCACTGTCAGTGTCACAGCCCCTTTTAGCAGGACATCTCTTTGGATTAAGGAAATGCAGCAGCACACCAAGCAGCTGGTGGATTGAATGGTTGGCTTTGGGGCTGCACAAACTCCTGGTTGCTGGTTGGGTCTGGAAATACGTGATGAGGCCATTATATGCAAAGGGGTTTTAGGGCAAGCTGTTGTCAGTCCTCCCTGGAAGAGTATCTGAAGGTAGTCTTGAGCTGGACTAGCTGGCATGGCCTCTGCTGCTGGCCCTGTGGAGCAGGGTTTGGGAAAGTTTGGGACGCTGCCCCTTGAGCCAAGGCAGCAGAGGTATTGGCAGCAGTTGCTCAGTCTTCAGCAGGCAAGTACCCTGTGCTGTTCTGCTTGTCCATTCAGGAGAAGGAGATGTCTTCCCTTCTGCTGTAGGCTCTCATATCCTGCCTGAGTCACCCTGTCTCTTGGGAATGGATAAGTTTGTGTGACCTCTCCCCATAAGTGGGGACAACAAAGTTCCAGCACTGTGAACTCCTTGATGGAGGGTCAGTCCCAACCGAGGTTGCTGAGACCATGCACTGCCCAGGCTGGGGAGGCAGTTTCTGGTCCCAGGCCCTACATCTCGTGCCCAGGTTTTGTCTGTGTGTCACTTCCCGCCCTGCTTCCCGTTACACAAAGCCTTTGTGTGTCAGCAGATCCTGGGATGCCCCGCGGCACCTGCCCCTCTCCACTCTCTCCGCCTCTGTGGCTCTGCCCTTTCCCGTTGTCACTTCTGGAGGCTGCTGTCTGCCTGTTTGATGACCTTCCCCACTGTTCGGACAGTATTTTGGCCCCTGGCCATCTTAAACAATTAATGGAGGGGTGGAGAAACTTGCCGTGTTAAATTACTTACTCCTTTGGGAGGGGGTGAGGTCTCTACATCTCTTGCCTGATCCCAATGCAGTTTGTTGCTGTTGCCTGAAGCGGTCACTGCTCTCTGTTTTCCTTCTAGAAGTTAGAAAAACAGTATTTCAGAGCACTCTCCCTGTATTTCTCGGCATTTTACTTAACCTGCGGCGGCGCCTCGGGATCTCGTGGAGTGGCGAAACTTCCCTGGACTTAGAGAAAAACAAGCCGAGAGGAGGCAAGGGGGGAGGATTTTGCTGGAAGCCTCTTTGGGAAGCTGGAGACCTTCTCGGGATGCCTGCCTTATCCTCCTCCAGCAGCTATTCAGATCTTGCCGGGCGAAGGCAGCTCCCTGCCGGGGAGCATCTGCATTAAGGCGGTGTGTGCGGCGGGCCGGGCGCTCGGAGGGACGCGGAGAGCGGCGGGGCCGTGAGGAGCAGCCCGGGAGCGCTTCTGGCTCTGCCCTCGTCCCTAAGGCCCCGCAGGGCCGGGGGATGCGGCACCTTGCTCTCGCTATGCCCCTCTGCCGTCTAACGCTGGAGTTGGCTGTCAGAGAAACCTTCGAGGTCCCCTGCTCAGCCCCGGTAGTGTCATGAGTTAGATTAGTTGGAGCTGTGCTGGGGGCGGTGAGGGCTTGGATTACAGTCCAGAACTCAAAGTGCTTCGGTGGTTCACGTCGGAGGGGAGAGGAGACGCCCCGTCGCACACATGGAGGAAAAAGAGAAAAAACGCTGTCTTTGGAAGTGAGGGGGAATAAAGGAGGCCGGGAACATGGTAAGGAAATCTCTACGAGGGGCTCTTGCCCTGGGCACGAGCAGGGCTGTGCGGGACGAAGCTGCTATCGGGGCAGCCTGCCTGGAGCCAGCGCAGGGCGCTAATGCCGGGAGTGGGAAACAGCTTTTGGCATTTCCCGTTACTCGAGTGGCACACCGTACTCTTGGTGCCAGTCCTGGGCGGTGGCTGCAGGGACACAAACTTCTCGTTGGCACTGACCCCTGCGAGGTGCCTATCGGGCTACAGTGCTGGAGCGAGAAGCTGGGATGGGTCAGTTCGGACAGAGCTTTGTCTTTTGTGCTGCCTGGATGCTGAGCTTTCCTCCTGCCCTCACTCTGCCAATCCTGCTCTGTGGCTCTGGGCATTGCCCTCTTGTTGCAGAGCCTTTTCTCCTGCCCAGGGTGGGCATCCAGAGAACCTCTGGAGCTGGGCAGGGGTGCACCTTTTCAGTGTCAAATTCTGCACGTGGGGATCTTTGTTTGGAGAGGGGAAAGGATGGTGAGCCCAGTGGGCAGGAGACTCCATGAGAGCGGCTGCAGGGCTGTCCCCTGCCCAGCCACACTGGCACTGGCACAAACAGAGGTGCCCAGCCCTGGGCTGTCAGTAGCTGGAGGGGTCACTGGCCCTGTGGTAACATCCCACCAAGCACTAATCTAGCTTCTGATGGTTTGGTAAGTTCAGCTTCTGAACCTGCAGAAATTTGGCTTTCATTGAAGGATGAATTCAATTCTGACTTCTGCAAGTTGAACTAAGTTTATAAACCTATATATTTTCCCTTTATCACCCTCCAGCTCCTTTGCAGAGAATCCTGTGGTGCTCTTTGCCCTCACATGCCTGTCAGAGCCATGGTGTGCTCTCCCCTGCTATTCTTCTGTGGAGACATGTCACTTCTATTTCTCCATCCCAGTCAGAAGACCTCTTTCCCTCACCCCATGCCTAAGGTGTTCCTGGCAATTTTTGGTCTATGCAGGTTATATTATGAAGTTGAAATCAAAGGAGAGCACTGCTTGGGGTTGTGCAAGGTTGGGGCCATCCCTTGCAGTCTCATGGGCTGCATTTTACCATATGGGCTGGAGCAGTGCTTGTGAAATTCTGCCCTTGGAGGCCAGAGGCAGAGACTGGCTGCTACTACTCTGCTCCTTCAAGTTGGAGATGTCTTTCTGATGATTCCCAAGTGCTTTAGCCCCCTTCCTTGATGTTGCTTTAATGTGTGATGCAAAAGCTGTCTGAAGCAGGGGCCTTCATGTGGACCAGTCTGGGTGGTTGGGCATTCAAGGACCATGTATCACTGCTGAGGAGGAACTGTGTGCCTCCCAGGGGCTGAATGCAGCTGGAAGGAATAGAAACCAGAGGCCAAGCTGCACCAGACCCATCCATGAGTGCTGGCCACATTGTGGACACCTCTGGTCCATGGCAGGTATCTATTCTCAATGTTGTGGTAGACCAATCTACATGTTGGGAGATGCATTTTTGTGAGCAACCAACTTGTGGCTGCAGCTCCAAGCTGTTCTGATTAACTTGAGTTTTTTGTGTCCTGGTAAATCAAACAAACCCTGCAGGCAAAAGATTTGGATTTCAGTGAATGTGTGTCAGTCTGCTGGCCTGTAGGAGACCTTCCGTGGCCTCCAGCAGCCTGCAGGACTCTTTGAGACTTGGCTCCTGATGGAGGTCTGTCAAGGCACCACTGCTGCTGCCCTGCTCTGTGAGGCAGGTGATTTATTTTCATGGGGTTTCAGTGTTAGAGCTGATGTGTATGTATGGGTACAGAAGGTTGTGACAGCTGGGAGAGGCCCAAAGCACCAAATGGGTGAGAGTTCGGGCCAAAGTAGCTCACTTCCACTAGAAGTGACTTCTGAAGCTGTGGAAACCCCATAGTGAGAGCAGTGCAGGAATCTGGCTGGGCTCTGTCTACCTTGCTCACCCATCATGGCTTTTGTGACTGGGGATCTATCTTCATTCCCTGGTATTCCCATGATTCACCATTCCTGGTGCTTCCTGCAGAGAAATTCTGGTGGCACCCCTATGCTGGTAGGAGAGAGGATGGATTTCAGCAGAAAATAGGGTCTTTCTTCCTCCAGTTATACCTTCTCCCAGGGTGGGAAGGAAATGAGTCTGGGAATCACAAAGACTTTTAAGCATTTGGGATCTTCTTTCTTTATTTCTGCGCCAAAACCATGAGCAAGATGTTGGAACACAGACAAAGTCCAGAGACATAATCCTGAGCACATGGAAGCAGTTTGAAAGCACCTCCTCTGGGGTAACAAGGCTGACAAGTTGCATTTTGCCCAGTTTCTTTTCAAAAGATCTAGGCAGGTGAACATGCCGTTCATTGTAGCAATAAAAATAATGGCTGAATGCAAGTGACAGGCCAGATGCATCCAGATGCATTTCTATCTTCTTGTAGAAATTGCCAAATGTATTCTAGTACCACATGGGAATGGAAGACAGTAGATGCTTACAGTGAGACAATGCAGGTATCCAAGGAGGATTCTATGCTGAATCTCAGTACTTATTTTCTGAGAACCAGCATCCTGTAGCACAGCCCCTTCTGGTAGTGCTGCTGGTCACCTGCCCCCAAGGGCAGCTGGCTCTGAAGGCATACCTTGATGTAGCAGAAGAGATCATAACATGAGAGCTTTGTCAGCATCTCGTGGCTGGTCACTTCAGACAAGATAACCAGCATGTCTACCTCTAAATTCTAGAGCACAGGCACAGTGCTCAGCTCATTTTCTAGTTGCATCTCAAACAACCCTGTCTGCAACCAATCTATGTAAAATTTAAACCATCCTACAGGCTGTGCACAACCTTAACCTGCGCATTGGTGCTAAGTGTGGGTGGAAGTCACATCACAGGGGCCACGGGCTCCTTTAGCACTGAAGTGTTGAAAAAAATCTCTGTTGAAACAATCAAGGTGTCCTACAGAAACTATAAACTGACCCCACCTGTAGGCATCTCTATCAGAGCACTTTTTGTTCCTGTTCTTGGCTGTTCACACATGATGGAACCCCCTGTTCCAGTCCTGCAGAGCAGTGTCACCGTGGTCTGAAAAAGTGAGTAGTAGCACTGGGACCAGATGTGTTGCTGACTGAAGAGCAGTAAAAAGCAAGGAGAGCTTGCCAGGATAAAGCTGCCCACTTCTGGCCATGGGGTGCTCTGTGTTTTTTGCACCACTCATAGTACCTGATTTGCAGCTCAGAGAAGTGAGTAGACATGCCCTTGTTGATTCTGAAGGTTTGGCCATGCTTATGCCTCTCCGCCACACCAAGTGCCTCATCCCTGTTGGCTGGCCTAATCTTTCATTAAAATATTAACAAAAAATGGGGCCTTTCTTGTTGTAAGTTCTGGTTTCATATGTATCCTGTTTTTTGCATCACTGCACACCAAGCTGAAACTTCCAAGATCAAAGCAGCACAGAATGATTCTGAAAATCTTTGTCTGCTCAGATTTGCCATCCTGCCATCAGCCTGGGAAGCCCAGGATGAACCCTTGCTTCAGCTGGTGCAACCAGCCATTGATTTGAATGGAATCAAAAGGCTCAGCTGAAGAGAAAACTTGCATGTGCTCCTCCTGGACAATCGTGGGGGAGTCTTCATGGGGCCTTATGGTCCCCTGCAATGGGGCACACTGCTGTGGCTGGAGAGTGGTTTGCATGCTGCAGAGAAGGAAAGCTGCTGGAGTTCTGATGACCTTAGCTAGGTGTCCACCTTGAGCTTTGCAGCCTGTGTTAGGCGTGGCAGAGGCTTCCTGAGCAGGTTCCTTCAGGAGGATACCTTCCCTGGGGCTGCTTGTCAAATCTCAGTGCCTCTCAACAAAACTCCAGCATTGCTGAGCCTCCAACATGGTTAAAGGATGTGGGTTATTTGCTGTCTGTTGTCATCTTGCTGAATACATTTACCTTTTGAACAAGGTCCCTCTCATATGCTCAGGAGGCTGGTATGCAGGCCCGTTAATGGATCAAGGGGAAAAATGCCTGTGGATGTATTCTCCTTTGTGTTTGGGCTTACAACCACCCACGTTTTGGCATACATCCCTTCTGTGCACAAAGATCTTTTAGAAATTGCTAGTTAAATCTCCACCCTCCTTTGATATGTATGGAAATAATGGGACACGTGAGACTGTTTTCTGTTTGGAAAAAAAATCTATTAAGGGAGTAGCTTTAAAAGCCTGTGTTCACCCCTTTCTATCTCAGGAGTTTACTGAAAGAAATGCCCTGAATTTATGACTGATTTACTTAGTTTTCCGGGAGGCATGCATTTAGTGCTGTATCCAAATATAGGGGAAATG